ATTATATTTAATTGTTTTATCATTTTTCTCTCAAATCTTTTTATTTCCATGTGTTGTTTTTACATTTCGCTGTCTGGTGTTTTTACTTTACCTTATGCATTTCTGACTCATTATGCAAATAAGTTGGACGGGCCTTCTTGGGTCAGCTTCTCTCCTATTGGTAAACAGACAGGAAGGAACAGGAGTGCTTGTGCTGCTTCTCTTTTTGCTTAAAGTTTAGTTTGAAACAAAGGTACATCTAAGTGTTTCCCTCCTTGCCTTAGTTTTAAACTTTAAACTAATTGTTCATGGATAGTTTCATATGTTTCCTTTTTAAAATATTTCCATTGAACCAAAGATCGGAAGCAGTGACTGATTTGTAGTGAAAACCTTTTTCTTACTTTTTTCCTCATGTTTGAAGTATTTTTTCAGTGGTCTTTGTGTATTTCTTAATAAAATGGAACAAAAAGGTTTGTGTGTCTGCACCTTCCAGTACCAGGTTATAACCACTGTATGTTACCTGTCAATAGTCATAATGTTATGGCTGAAAAATTGTGAAGTTTTGTGAAACAGGAAAAATAACTAACTTTAAAATGTTGTAATTGAGTTGTTAGTGTTGAACCTGTGGAGCTGACAGGTGTTCAGTCCCTGCAGGTACCTGGGTTCTGACTTCAGCCTGACTGGCTCTTATGTAAAAGAAGCAATATGAGCTGAGTGGATTAGAGAGTCTGAGGCAGCAGGGGATAACAGATCTGGGTTTAGCTCTGGGTCACTTTACTGTCTCTTGGTAACAGAGACCGGAGCTGCGAGCTTTGTGTTTACACTGAGCCTCTTGAATTTATTTGTGGTTTATTAAAGGTCCAACAGTCCCTCAAGTTTGAAACTATGGTGATTTTACACTGAGAAATGTTTTCAGARTCGGTCCTGTCAGAAGATCTGTCTCTTCCCATCAGGATTACTATTGATGAGGCTTCATAAGCCCATTAGAGTCAGCACGGGGGTCTCTCCTCAACACATAACACCACTTCGGACACTAACTTTGAGGATACCTAGAGAAATAGTTCCGATATTGTAAAGTTAGGTTCTACAAATAGATGACCACGCCCACTACAGCTGTCTTCACCTGCCAGGCTCATTCTGGCTCTTCCCTGAGCCCATGGTATTTATCCAATTTCTTGTGTTCATTTTTCCTGATGTTTCATCATTTGGTATGTCCTCTGCTGCTTATCAATGATCACAATGTCTGCTTGGCTGGCCATTAACATTTTGTCTGTTTGAATCTGGAGGTCCCACAGAATCTTAGTTTGGTCATTCTCCAAAAAATTTGKGGTGATTCTTACTTTGACCTATGGGTCTCTAGTTTGTACCCTGCACAGATGTTTCTGTACACTTGGTTATGGTGTTCCATGTATTTCTTTTCTGCTAGTATCTTACACCCTACTGTGAGATGCTGGATTGTTTCTGAATCTTTGCACAGCCTGCACCTGGGATCTTGCTTGTGTAGAGAGAACCCCTGTCAAAATCATGAATATGATTTTAATTAAGAGCATCCCTCCCCGGTTCGAAGATGGTATCTGTTGAACAAGACAATCACCACAATACACAGAAAACACACAAAGTCGTTCCGGTTTATTTTGGCCAGTTAAAATTAACTGACTTTTATTAAAGAGAGTAATATTGAGTGCTTAATATGTGATTACAACAATCAAATAATAAATGGGCTCTCACTACGTTTCTATTGGTTTCTACTTTTAAGCAATTTGTCTAACGGTATTAACTAAGCAAAAGCAGATTAATTTTTGTACATTTAGGGTCAATGGGCCTCATGCAAGAACATGTTCGTATTCTTCTCCTAAATTTCTCTTACTTTTGTTCGTACAAAGG